AACAACAAATTGTGTTAGTTCCAACTCTGTCATCAATTTTAAGACATTTGTTAATTGATTTGGTGATTACCATTTCCAGGTATAAGATTTTATAAGATGTATAACACACACGCACAGGAAATTAATGTGAGTCACCTCCCTGTATAGCTATCCTTATCTCAACCAGCAAAAACCCTTGTTCCTTCCTATTATTGCTTACACTCTCTCTACAACAAAATTAGAAATAAGGGCAAAATAGTTTCTGCTGGGTATTGAGGGGATGGGGGGAGAGGGAGGGGCTGGTGTGGGTGGTAAGGGAGGGGGTGGGGGCAGGGGGGAGAAATGACCCAAGCCTTGTATGCACATATGAATAATAAAACAAAAAAAGATTATATATACATATGTATATATCATACATAGTTACATTCTGTTTTAAGAAGCCCCATCCTGGGTTAGATTCTTGGCTAAATTATTATGTAATTTCTTCACATAAAAATAGAACTACTTCTAAAATTTCAAATGAATTCACATTTATAGAATGTTTGATAAACAGAAAGTATATTTATATGTATCTATTTATATATGTATGCATCGTTTTTTCTTGGTGGGACTGGGGCTTGAACTCACAGCTTTGTGCTTACAAGGCTGGCTCTATAGCTTGAGCCACACCTTCCACCCTTATTTTATTATATGTTTCTACTATAAACTTAAGCAACTTAATATAAAGACATCTGCTCTTTTGAAGTCTTCATAATTTATTCCAAACTCTATCAGTAAGCAAATGTTTATTTCTTTTTACAATCAAGATATGCATACTGTCTGATGCTCTTTTTATTATCTTGTATTTCCTCATATGTGGCTAGGAATTATTCTGTAATTCTCAAAAGTCTGTCTGAGCAAGTATGCTTCCAATTACGTATTAGGGCCGGAATAACCAGCTTTTTCAGCTCTCTTAATAGGAAACCCAGAAGGTACAGAACTTTTCTGTGCGAGATTGTTTTCTGAAGGTGGTCATAGTGATGCATATCCCATCCTGCTGGATTTTTTTCCTGGTAGTTTGAATTGAAGGCCTCATGTATGCTAGGCAAGTGTCCTACCACTTAAGATCCTAGACCTGTTTTTTTTCTTTAGTTATTTTTCAGGTAGGGTTTTGTCAGGCCTTGAAAACACAATCCTCCTACCTCTGCCTCCCATGTAGCTGGGATTACAGAAAATTGCCACCATGTCTGGTTTGTTCTTTGAGATATGGTCTTGCTAACTTTTTCCCTAGACCTGGCCTTGAACTGCAATTCTCTTATCTCTGCTTCCCAAGTAGATGGAATTACAGGTATGAGCAACCATGCCTGGTCTTTTTACAATACAATGTTGCTATTCTACTATGTGTTGGAAGTCTATATTCTCTTCCCTTGTAACTGGCTAAACTAACAAAATGTGGTAGGAGTCAGCCTGTCATTTTGAATGCAATATGGCTCCCTCCCCTTTTGCCTTTCTTCATTTGCTTTTGGAACCCAGCACCATGTTATGAGGAAACCTGGGCCACGTGGAGAGGCCACATGAGTTCCCACTGACAGTCTGCCAAGGTCCCAGCTGAGAGCCCACATCGACCCAGACATGGGAATAAACAAGCCTTCAGGTTAGAGCTATCATAGAACTTTCTATGATTAGGGAAATGTCTTGTGTCTTCTCTGTCCAATATGGCAACATAATGTCACATGTTAGGCTTAAGTGGTAGAGTGCCTGCATGGCATGCTCAAGACCCTGAGTTCAAACCCTATTACAGAATATTAATTGAAATATCCAAAGTGACTTCACTTTGGACATTTAGCTTCACTTGGGGGCCGCCCTCAGCCTTTGAGTCTTAGCTGAAGAACTAGACATCAGGAAGCAGAGGCAAACCACCTCTGTGTGCCCTCTGCTGTATTCCTAACTCTCGTAATCCATTACAAATCATAAGTAAATTGGCTTAAGCTGTTCAGCTTTGGAGCATTTTGTTACAAAGCAATCAATAACAAATACATTCTTCCTCTTTGGGGTTTGTTGCTCTTCCTATAGCAAATGAAAAAAAAAAGCACAAATCTCTTCTGCCCTTGCCACCCCCCCCACCCCCCACTTTGGGCTGTGGATGGAGCTCAGGACCTTGGACATGAGAGGCATGTGCTCTGCCACTAAGCCACACCCCCAGCCCAACCTCCATCTTTTACAAAGGCTGTGGCTACAGCTGTGTGTTTTTCATAGCCAGGTTTCATGAGTGACCTGCTAACACTTACCCTCCTCGCTTACCACTGAGTCACCACTCAGTGCACCCACCAAGCTCTGGTTACAAATGATGGAGAGCCTCCCTAGCAAGCCTAGCAAACATGAAGCCCTGAGTTCAAGCCCCTGGACTGTCAATAAATAAACAAATAGATAACTAACTAGCTAAATAAAAAGGTGTCAAGATCAACAATTTATCAACCAACCAACCAACCAACTAACCAACCCAAAATCACATTTTTTCTGAGTAAAATAGGAAAAGACACCTTTTGATAAAAGATGCCCTTTCCTGAGGGCTGATGTGGTGACGGTCATCCAGCGTCCACAGCTTGGCAACTGTGGCATTGAATCCTGTGCCCTCTGCTGGGCTCCACATAACAACTGCCAGCCTGTGCTTGCGGGTGGCTCTGAGCTTTGTCCCGTGTCCATCAGCATTCCTCTCACGTGCTGTTCTGGGCTCCTTGCATGTCTGTGGCGCACGAAGCCTCTGGAGGGTGGCGTCTTGCCAAGCCCTGGGTGTGGACACTCTTTCCAGCCTTGAGTTCTTCCCAAACTGCAGAGTTTGTGGGGTCCTAATGTGGAGCTGCTGTCCCACTCCTCCCTGCACCAAAACCTTGCCATGTGCTTCAATGTGGAGAATGGTCCCTTCACTGCACATAAAAAGGCTGCCATGAACACTGCTCTTTTGACTGTGCTCTTCATCTTCTTTGCAATGGTGAGGTGTGACTAGGGCCCCGGAATCCTCAGAACCCTCTAGCCCTCTCAATAAACACCCTCTTCCTGTCTCTGTGCACCTCCTGCAAAAGGGCCCGGATCCTCTTCCATGATGCCCTGGCTCCCTCCCTGGAATCAGCCCACCCACCTGTTCTCATATGTCATCTTGGGATGCAAGGAACTATACTAGAGCATAGTAAGTAAGACTCCTAAGTGCTATGCTTACCCAAATTAGCCAGAAAACGGGAAGGAGAGTGTGGCTTAGGGTTTCAATTTCCTAGAAGAGATTACTTCATTACAAAAGGGAAGAACTATTTCCATATTTCTCTGGAAGTGAGATAAGTTGCTTTTCCCTCTGTGTTGGGAAGACTTGCAAGTTTAGCTCACAGGAGGCTGAGCAAGTGCCTGTCTGTGTTCTGACAGGCTGCTTCCACAGTCTCAGAAGACACAAAACCTTCAGACATAGCCAAAGATTGGTTATACAAGGCACACTGAAATCTGACTACTTGCAGTTCACATTTGAGGGGACACAATTCAGCCTGTGACACATCCCAGAAAGGGCCAGTTTATAATAAAGGTTTCCAATTTGTTTGGAAAATCCCAAAGTATTATTAATTATATTGATTATAACTGAATTTGAATTTCCCAATGGAAGACATACACACACCCACTCCCCCCTCAATCACCTTTAGAACACTAAATTAATAAATGGGTTATCGTTTATTAGATAAGTTTTTACATTTTTGACCTAGGTGAATAAACTCAGACTAGAAAAAGGAAGAAAAAAAAGAAATTGTACCTTTTTCCAACATAATAATCTTGGAGCTCTCTGTCCAAATATTTTCTGAAAAGAAAAAGCTGTAAGAATAATTAAACTTTTTCGTGTATTTAGCATTTTTTTCTTGTGCAGCTTAAGTATGCAAGTTCTCAAAAAGTTGTGAAGTAGATCGATTTTCTCTCTATTCTGAATAAAAATACAATTTCCCCAAATACTGATGCTTAGTAAAATTCAAGATTTTTTAGAGAAGAATTTCATATCATGTATTTTATGGATAATTAATATTTAAAATCAAATGTGTGTCTAATTTTTGTGGGTCTTCTGATATAAACATGGCATCATGGAAAATTATGTTTAGAACATTAATTTTTCATATTTGAAGAAACAAAATATTATAGTCAATTATTCATCTATAACTTGGGTACCAATTCTTTTCTGGAACAAAGCTAGAAGGGATTCCTTTTGCGGATTTCCTCTTGGGAAAGCTAGGTGTGGTTTGTTTTCTTCTCTGACTAGCACAAAGATATGCAGGAAAATCTTTTGCAAGTAAAATTCCTTGTGCTTACAAAACAAGCATAAGGAGAGGGGAAAAAGCAGGAGATCTAGTCTGGCTTAATGTTTGCTTACACTAGGGCATATTTTGGACTTAATCCAGGTTAACAAAAATAAAGCCACAGGACAGGTAAATACAGTAGTATATTTAAGCTCTTGGTGCACATGTATTTCAATGACTAAAAGTATATAGGAAATATGAAGGCGGAAGTAAAACAGTAAGCAGATATGAAGTATAACAAGTTTTCTTCTTTTTTATTAAAGGAAGCTAGACCATAATAACAATATACCACATAGGGCTCAGAATCAAACAAAGGCTGCTTAGTTATTTATTTTGCTTTTGCTCCTTTTAGGAAGCAAGAAAAAAAAAACCAACTCTAATGACACTCAAGTTTATTTTCAATCAAACTCCCCATAAATTAGAAAACGTCTCATACAATGATGATAAGGAGAAAAAGAGTGTTATTCAGAAAAAAAAAACCCTCTATAACTATGTTTATTTCTTATAGCAATTTGGATTGTGTGACAAGTCTTATAAGGACACTTCATGAAATAATTCAACCTCTGTGCTCATGTTTAGGGCAATATGTAAGTGACTTGTCCTTATTTGCTGCATCTTTTTGCATGTAAGGAAAAATTGGTACTTGCTTAGTTTTGAGCATTGCAAACTCCTGCCGTTTGTTCACGTCCCACATGAACAGAGCCTTGCTGCCATTGTGTTTTCTCTAATTAAAATTCAGAGTATTCAACACAGTCGAGTACATCCATGCAGACATGACATACTGCCGTCACGAACCGGAAGCTCAGATCAACAGCACCAAGCAAAGACTCATTTCATAACATCATTAAGATTCATTGTACCCTGCGCTTCTGAAAGGCTTTGTCAAAGCGGATACTAATGTCCTGTCAGAAATGTGCAAACAGAGATTTGTATTAAGTAGCCTTTTCCCTCCTTTTCTTAGTATGGGAACCTAGCTTCATTCCTAGTGCATGGCCTCAGAGCTTCAGTTAAGTGGTTTGCAGGTTCTTAACACTGTAAAATACTACAAAAACAGAGTATGAAAAAAGTTAGGTGAAAAATGTTTGAGTAAGTAGGTGGGGTGGGGGTTTTCCTGGGAAGAGTAATTAGGCAGAATGACTGTATCGAAACAAAAGGAGGGGTAGCTCAGGAGTGTGAAGGTGGGTAGAGCCTATGAGTCACAAGGTGGAGTGTTTAATTTGGAACAAGTCAATATAAGCACTGCTTTCTTTTCCTTAAGAACCTTGGTACTCTTTATATTATAATCTCAGAAAGGAAAGCTCTCTCTTAAAACTTTTTTTTCTTTTATATCCTGTTGAGTGAAGCCACCTGGGGAGACAGACTTTACATGCTGGCTTCCTGAATAGTTAGAATGATGGTATCTGGAATTTGCTTCTTTACACCCGATATTTTTCTTTACCATGTTCATTGATCACGCATATGTGCTGAAACAATAAAGGATATAAATAATTAATTCCTTCACAAGATATGAGGTACAGAAAATGTGATGCAGTAATGACATAGTGAAATGTCGTTGTTCATTTCAACATATGTGTATGTTTGTGTGCATGTGTAAAATCTAAAGAGAGCCAGTCAAATGCTTGACAAAAGGTGCTTTGTTGTTTTAGTTTTGAGTCCTATTCTGTGTCTGGTTCCCCAAGTTGCCCCAAATTAGAAATGCTGAGGGCTCAGAATGTTTATCACTGGTGAAGAAAGAAGTCTACTAATGACAACTGCTTGGGTAAATGAAGAAATAACAGTGGGACTCTTATTTGACACTTTTTGGGTAACAGGAGATATGTTACGAATATTTTTATTCCAGGTGATAGAAATGGAGGCAGGCTAATGTTGGCCCCAAAGGGGAATTTATTGGTAGAGTATGGGGTAGTGTACAGAATCCAAGGAGGAGCTGAGCAATGAAGCCACTGGGAACCAGGACCAGGGGTAACCCCAGAAGCTTCACACACCGTACTTGTGAATGCTCTTGGGTACTGTTATTACAGCAGCTTACATCTCAAAACCTTTGGTCTCTGTAACTTTTTATAGAAATTTCTAATTTCCGGGAGCAAGACATCAACTGGTCTACTTTGAATAAGAGGTTTACCTCTAGACTATTCAAGGATGAGGGCCACATCAACCTTGGGAGCCCACCCTGGGGTCTGTGTCTGTGTGTTGAGACCATTCCCCCAAGAGGAAGAATAGTTATCAGTGGCACGCCACTGTGTTTGGAACCTGTTCAATTTCAAGCACTGACATGAAATGTTTTATAGAACATTGGCTATCTGTCATGATTGGTTGAGCATAGTCAGTGACCAGACAGAAAAATCAGTGTGGAGCCACAGTTCTGCTTTTTGCTTCCCATTTCTTTAGTACAAATAGAGATAACCATCATTTGCTTCCATGTAGGGTGGTGGTAGGAATTAATTGGGAATATGTATGCAAAGTGTTCAACATATTCCTGACACACAGGGTATCTCCAAAATAGCAGTCATCATTATTACTATTTCATTCATCTGTTAGATTGATGACACTGTTAAATTCTTATGCAAAGAGAATTAGGGTTTTGCATGCAAAACTTACATTCAGATCTCTGAAGTATTCATTGTAATCTAAGGCATATCCCACTACAAATACGTTTGGAATCTCAAATCCAGTATCTTAACAGAAAGAGAGAGAAAGAGAGGGGGAAAAATTAAGAATACATAACTATACTGTTACCATATGCTGTTGTTGGCACTTAAAACTGTGAGGACCTTGCATTTAGGCAGACAGATGAGAAAAATGGTCAGCAAGGCAAAGGAAAAGCTGAGTAGGGCCCTGAACCAGAATGCTTACTTGGGGAGTCAAGAAAAACAAGCTGACCCACATGAGGAGTGATGGGACTCTCAGTGTGCAGAGTGGAGAAAGGGTCAGAAGGCCCAGTGGATAGCCAAGAGGAGGTATGACTTAGTCATGTGGTGCTGTTATTCCAAAGCAAGCAACATAAGGCCAAAGGAAATGTACCAAAATGCATAAAGGATCATTCAGAGATACTGCAGGACCATGGTACAAGTCTAGGTGTGCAGGCCACTGCAAATGAGAAACTATTTCCCCTATAGCACTCTCCTCAGCTGGCTGGAGGGCTGGAAGGAAAACCTGGGAGACAAGATGAAAGGAAATGGATTTGTCCAGCTAGTAGAAGAGAAGGTTAAGGGTTATTTTAATGCTGGTCATCGAGTCCACAATCCAGAGGACACTACTTAGCTCTTTATCTCGATAATGAGGGTACAATGAGAGGAAATGGATTAAAATGCAGCACAAGGAACTTGGATTCATCAAAAGAAGACTGTTGAAAAGAAGATGAGTTTTACTGGAGAGGAGCCGTGAGGGACAAGACAGCTCTCCTTCTTCAGGGACTTTGAGATCGAGTTAATGTGCCTTGGTCCAATGATTTTTAAGCTTCTTTCAGTATTTCGGAATCTTGTAAGTTTGTTTATTACAGTAGACTAGGAGAGAGGTTTGCTTGCTGGCTTTTATGAAACCATACTTTGTGGTGGGAGTAGAGCATGGATGGTTATCTGCATGGTGACCTATGCCCCACCATTCCATCTCTATGACCAAAGATGCTCTTGACTGGAGAAACTAATGGGGTGCTACATAGAAGTGCTAGAAGTGAGGGGTCAATTTTCTAGGGAACTCTATTATGAGGTTACTGATTAGGAAGCCTGTTTGATTCCTCCAAACTCTCCAGTGTCTAGAGGAAAAGGAGCCAGGTGTGGTGGCATATGTCTGTAATCCAGCACTCAAGAGGCTGAGGCAGAAGGATTGCAAGTTCAAGGCTAGACTGGAATACATAGCAAGTTTGAGGCCAGCCTAGATATTATAGCAAGACCCTGATTCAAAAAAAGAAATTGTTTTTGGAGAGTAGAAGCAGAAGCAAAAGAAAAGACATTAGAGGTTACATTGACCATTAACATCTAACAGAGCCAATGTTGAGAAAGAAAGAAACAAACTGCAAAGCCTCAGAAATCCAGAAAGAGAGAAACAGAGATTCTGAGCTAGTTAAAAAAACTATAGCACTCCCAGTCACAGCTGCTACAGTTTTACTTATGTTGTCATAATTGACAAAAAACTGCAATTAATAGATATGTTTGAATTGAATGTTTTCAACTTCAGTTAAAATCTTATAACAGTATCTGACATGATTTCCACACAAATTTCTGTTTAGTAACCTCATGTAACCTTAACGATATCCAGATTAGATTCCTGAAGACAGAAACCAACAGGAACACACTATTGGGCCTAGTGACATGTGCCAGAGTTAGTACACCCAGCGGAGGACTGGGACTTGTTTTGGGAATGCAGTCACTGGCACAGGACCCATCCATACCGTGCTTCCCTGTGCCTAGTGTTTGTTCAGCTTGCAGATGAGATCTGCAGCCAAATTATCCCAGGGGCTCTACAGCAAACGTAATTTACCAAAATCAAGCTCAAGTTTGCCTATGCAAATGAAAAAAAAATTGCCTCTTGTGTTGGAATAATAAATAATCTCCATGCTTGTTTATCCTTTCTGGCATTAGAACTTGTCCTATTATAGGGAGGAGGGACAATTGCCCCAGGTAAGGACAGCCCTCCAGAACACATGTCTGAGGTCAAGTGTGAAGATGGTAGTATCTAGAGATACCTGTTTGGCTCATTCTCTGTGTTCCTGAACTTTTATTTGGAGGTGTCTCAGATTTCCCCTTCTTTGTGCTAAAACTCAGGTTTGCTAAAGGTCACCATTATGCATTGTCTGGGAACAGTTCCTGAAGTTGGTGGGAGAATCCTTCTAAATCTCCATAGAGCCTCTGCCATTGGTGGGAACAGCTGCCAGGCAGGAATTCTACATATCTGAGTCAGTCCAGTGGGGGTAAGTCTTCCTCTACCTCAAAACTGATCGACTGAGTTACTAGAGTTAGGGTGCTGCATAAAATCTAACAATAAAAATATCCAGTGCACAGAACAGAGTTCCTGTGAAAATTCGAATAAGAAGATGTCAGGCTTTTATAGGGTTCTAAGTCCTTCCTAGGCAGAGGGCAGGAGGAATTTGTGGGACTATGAGTCCTACATAGTTTTCATTTCACATTTCACATGGATGAAACACCAGCCCGCCAAAATAAACCGAAAAACCAAAACACTTACAGTCAGGTCGAAAGCCATCACTTCTGGATGTTCTCTTTACCAGCAAACTATCGTTAAAAAAAAAAAAATTGCTTTAGTCATCTCAATAAAGTCTGTGAATTGCAAACAGAATTAAACATCACTGATGTATTTTTTCCCTTGAGCCTGTGGGGTGTCATCATGACCTTGTTTTAGTGTGTGCCCACACCTCCACCTGCTACTGTGGCACTACATCAATGGTTCTGTATAAAAAGAAGGGAGCCAAGCAATTGCAGAGAGCTCCTCCAGCTGGTCCTGGAAGCCGCTCATGTAGGCACAGTCAAGGTCAAGAGTGGCTCAGAAACACGGGAAAGCACTTCCTGTCCCCTTCCTTTTCAGGTTAGCTGTCAAATGGGCTATTTTTCCATTGTGGTCAAAAAGCATAAGGCTCCAGGTAAGAGGTCAGTGGTTTGGATGAGACTGTGTCTTTGGAAAGAGCATCCTGTGTTGGGATCCCTTTTGGGCTTGTTTGTAAAAATGCACATCATCACACTGTGCATGTTCTACCTACCTGGCTACCTTAATCATGTTGGGCTTGTATTTCTCTATGCTGCTGAGCAGTGCTTTCATGGTCCTCCCCGTTCCAACAACATCCTTGGCAAAAGGACAGACAAGTTCACCAAAAGGTATTTGTGCAATATAACAGCTTTTTCATCCAGAGAACTATTCCTTATTAATAATGCATGATAATTATAAATGCCAACTAATCTGAGTCAAAGTAGGAAGCAGACTTGCTTCTGTTTGTTTAGGTACCTCTTTCTGGAGGCTGGGCTTTGGGGGATGTATTGGTGAGTATTTCCATCTTGCATCCCAGTTATGCTGAAGAGCTAAATTCAGCCTCACAAGAACATGTGGGGCTCCCCCTGATTGAGTACACTGAGACTCACACAGGCACCCTGGGGGACTAAATTTTGACCCTGAGGTTATATAACACAATATGAGACACATGAATTTTCATGGATGTGGGATGTACATCTGAATACGCTGAATGGATTAACACCTCCCCCTTGGCATCTCCACTTAATAGGGGATTCTGTGGCTGGGAGTGAGAGGTATCTGGTCAGCAGCTGGTGACAGCCATGGGTTCTGAGGGTCTGCATCTGCAGTGAGCCCGAGCTCATCTCTGCTGATAAGCTGCTGCTGTACAATTAGGACAGAATGGGCTAATGCAATTTATTGTCCTTGGGACAGAAATCAGCTGTCGGGAGCTGCTAATCAACACAGAGGGTCTGAATTTAGCCAGGGCTGAGTAATTTGTTTGTTTGGATGGTCTACTTCATGGGTTATGTGGAGCCGGAAGAACTGCTCACAAGCAAGGCACACACAGGCAATTGTGGAACAAAAGCCTGAGAAAAAAGCCCATGTTTTTGCCAGCTGATAAGACAGGTCTGCTCCTGAAAGAAAGTGACCATTTGCTGAATAAGTCCACTGCTGTCATACAGCTGCTTTTTTTTTTCTTTCCTCTTTTCTTTCTTTTTTTAACAGAAAAACAAATTAAAAAAAAATCATAGCTTTCCTTTAGAGTAACACTTTTAATTGATTGTATTTATGATTTTGATGCTGAAAGAACTTGAGAATTGATTAAAAGCATTAGAGTTCATTAGCAAGAAGACTGAACTAAGGGTAAAGAGATTTCTAACCTTGGTTTTACTGTTAAATAAGTTTAACAGTAATTGTATTTACTGGCTCTAGGGGGTTCGTTTTCTTGTCCGTACAACTGTGTGATTCACAAATTGGCATAAGAACAAATTCAGGCATATTTGGAACTGAATATAAAAACAGAATAAGGTACCATAACTGTTATGGCAAAGCGTTCATCCTAAATTATTGGATAGTGATTATTGCTGGCTTCTATACAATCCATTTAGAGAACCACATACACAGTAGGGACTCAGTCAATCCTTGACCACTTTGATAGCAAGTTCTACACTTTAAAACTCACCAGTAGATTCTTTCAACTTCCGAGTATGGAAAAGGAAAAGTCAGCTTACCTCAACAATGAGGACATTCTGAAATAAACAAAACCCATAATTTTAGAATATGATGAAAATCTGGCTCTCAAGATAATACACATCTTGCTTGCAGTTACAATTTCACAATTTGCTTAGCCTGTCCTTCCCTGTCTATCTCTTCCAAATGATTGGAGATAAATCTAGGTATTCCAGATTCATTTCACCAGTCCCTCCTCTGGAATTCTTTGGCGTTATTTTTAGTCCTTTTTTTTTTTTTTTTTTTGGCGGTACTAGGGTTTGAACTCAGGGTCTCATACTTGCGAGGCAGGCACTCTACCACTTGAGCCAGTCCACTAGCCCAGTGTTGCAATTTTAGGATCTATATTTAGGTTGGAAGCAGGCTTATCTTAGAACCTGCTGCCTGTGCGAAGAGCTATCTATAAGTCCTCCCACTTCAATATTTCTGGCACGTGCCCCCACTCAGCATTTCTTTGGAATGCTAAGCTTACTCACTGCTCACCAGGATAACAAGCCAACACAGACTGCACTCACGGGGATGGTGCTTGGTAGATGGGTCACATATTCCGTTGTGACAGCCCAGTTCCCATGTAGACACCCAAATCCCCAGGGAATCAGTATTTATCCTCAGATTTTCAACCCTGAGGATAGGGGTGGGTAAGAGGAAGTTGTGAGGGATGTGGAGTATATTTTTAGTGGCATGGTTAGGTTCTTTGCTACATGCTCACAAGGCATTCCTCTACTTCTGCTCTAAGAACACTGAGTATGTTTCATTTCAATTTCTTGTATGATAGTTGCAGTCCCCATTAGTCTCTCAAAACTCTTTGTGGTGGGAATAACGCTTATCTTGCTTGGTATTGCATTCCTAGACCCTAGTCTAATGCCTGTCTATAGATACTCAATGATTTATTGAATGAAGGAATAACAATGGATTAAGCTTATTAATGAGTTAAGATCAACCACTTACCTGGATTAGTAATAACATGTCAATGCTGTCCCACCAACTTAAAAATATGACTGCGTTAATATGCCATCCAATGAACTAAGCAGGTGGGACTATTCCCTTCAAGTAATGAAGTTTTATTCTTTAGATAATCTTTCATTTATCTCTCTGGTTTACATAGCACTTTAAAAATAAGATCAAATCTTATACAGATTTCTTATTTATATCTAATGTAAAAAAACACTGAATTAATAAAAATGTTAATCAACCACTCATCCAGCCAACAGCTCTTCTAAATTTTCACCATATGTCAAGCACATGGAAATGGCTTTCTGGAAGTTAATCCATTAAAATCTAAATTTTATCATCAAGATCCATGATTACATTGCCCACGTTTGAAGGAGATCATGCCACTGTATCTTCTGAGAATCACAAGGATAGAGGATCCCTCTGGTGTTGCTTGTTATACCTTTACCATCAGTTCACACAGTTAGTTGGGATGTACATTTTTAGTTTGATTAAGGCTTACCAACCAACACTGTTACCCAATGGGAATACTTGGAGAGTGTTGAGGTTAATTTCCTGGCTCACAATCTCTCTTTTTTGTTTCAGCTTTATAAAGAATTTTTCTAAAATATGTTAGTCTGCATTCTTGTCTAATTAAGTAGAATGCACTGAAAATAATTAAGTCTGTTTTTTTGCAAGGGGATAGTTCAGAACTTTGCAAAACAGTAGAGTCAATCTGGATTGGCTACAACCTTAAGAAATAGTGGTGGGTGAGAAGTCGGATATGGATGTGTACTGATCAGGAGGTGTGATATCAGAATCTCTCAAATACATTTTTTTTTTCCAAATACATTTTAAGATTGAAATATTTTGAAGAAAAACTTTCCTTCCCAACTTTACCTCTCCTCTCTCCCCAGTTTGCTTCCAAGAGGCAATCCTTTTAATGCTTTCAGTTGTTTTTCTGGCTGTCACTTCTGTATTTTTAAGATCCATATATAATATGTAAAATACACATATAAAATTTATATATTTATGCGTGTATATGCACACACGTATGAATTATATATATTACATATGTATATTTGATCCCTAGCAGTGCTGAGGATGGAATCTGGGCCCTTATGCATGCTGAGCAAGTGAGCTACACTCCAGCCCTAAGATTTTCTAAACTTCTGATGTTATTTAAACATCATATTTAAAGAATTTAAAAATGTTCATGTGCTTTAAAATAGATTGAAGTTATCATGACATTTTCTATTATGCACATCCAACATATCACATCTAACAAAAATAATTTTTTTTTGTGTGGTACTGGGGTTTGAACTCAGGGCCTACACCTTGAGCCACTCCACCAGTCCTTTTGTGTGACGGGTTTTTTCAAGATAGGGTCTCAGGAACAGACTGGCTTTGAATCACAATCCTCCTGATCTCTGCCTCCTGAGTAGCTACGATTACAGATGCGAACCACCAGCACCCAGCATAAAAATGATAGTTTCTTAATATCCTACACAGCCAAGGGTAGTTCAAGTCTTCCCAAATGACCTTTTGGCTCATTTGTTCAATATAAGACCTTGCCCTTGATCTTGCCATGGTTCGAATGCCTCCCTCAAAGTTCCTGTCTTAGAAACTTTAATCCCCCCATGCAACACTGCTGAAAGGTGGGGCCTCATAAAAGGTGATGAGGTCATGAGTGATCTGCTCTCAGGAATAGATTACTATCATCACTGCAGGAGTACACTGGTTGTCACAAGAATGGCTTGTTTTAAAAGCAAGACAGGCCTCCTTTTGCTCTCTCACTCTCCCTTTTGTTTGAACTCAAGGCTTCATGTTTGCAAAGCAGGCACTCTACCACTTGAGCCACACCTCCAGTCCATTTTGCTCTAGTTGTTTTGGAGGTGGGGTCTTTTGAACTATTTGCCCTGGCTGGCCTCGAACCGCAGTCCTCCTGATGTCAGCCTCCCAAGTAGCTAGGATTACAAGTGTGAGCGTCTAGAAGGAAAAAGACCTTCACGTTCCTTCTTTGTCCTTCTACTTTTACCATGGGATGATGTAGCATGAAGGCCAAGAGTAGAGAGGGTGTAATGGTCCCAACTTTGGAAGCATTTTCATTTGTCTAAGGAAACTAATCTCTTTGTTATTTATTTACTTATTTATTTATTTGTGGTATTGGGGGTTGAACTCAGGGCCTCACACAAGAGTGCTCTACCTCATGAGCTCGCCTGAGTCCTTTTGTTTGTAGCTTTGTTTCTGAGTTAGGGTCTTACTAATGTTGCCCAGGCTGGTCTGGGATTTGTAATCCTCCCCTATCCACTTCCCAAGTAACCAGGATTACAGGCATGAACCACCATACCTGCCTCACTATATGTTTTAACATACCAAGATTAGACCAAAGAGCTAAGGGAACAGTAGTAAGCCATCTTTCTATAATCAGCACATAAAGCAGAGACTGGCATGTGGTAGTAGGTCCTTGAGAAATATCTGTGAAATGAATGAACAAGTCTGACCTCATTTCACTTTCTCTCGCTCATTCCACTTTTGACACATCACCTCCATCTTTTCTTAATGATCTGTAACTCCTCCTTAGCCAAGCAATAATTTAGAGTTACTGCTTTTAATGTTGCTCTAAGCTGTCTTCTAAAATTCCCATTTTTTGAGTGGGCAACCTTAGAAATTTTTTCAGAACACACTGTACCTCCAAAACTCTTCCAATCTGATAACTCTGCTCACTGCCCTGTGATGTTTGCCAGGTACTGTCTTAGTCATTTCATCACACCTAGCTCATTTCCTCCTCCAAAAGCCTGTAAAATTCACAGCCTGGGGGCCACAGGCAAAAATTCTACGGGGACTCTCTTCAGTGTGCTCTTTCCTTTTTATTGCATGATTCAGATCAAAGCCAGTCTCAGAGTTTCCTAATTTAAAAAAAGCAAAAAAAGAAGGAAAGAAGGAGAGAAGGAAGGAAGAAGAGAGAATTAGACAAAGATAAATGATTTTTAAAACACAAAATAGCTGAATGTAGTTGGGAATAACTGTAATCCCAGCACTCGGAAAGCTGAAGCAGGAAGATCGAGAGTTCCAGGCCAGCCTGAGTTACACAGCAAAACTCTGTCTCAAAAACGCCAAATGCTTAGCACACTGTGTTGTTTTGTCTAATCTGCTGTGCTCTCTCTAAATCAGAGGCATGGCGGCTCTGAGCAGGAGTTCCAACTCGAACCCGTTGGAGAAAGGAATGCAGCCCAGCATCTCATTTTATGTGATAATTCACAGAATTGCTAGAATCACCAGTCAGTGGGCATTTCCATTATTGGTCTCAGCTTAGTGAGCTACAGTAAAAAGGAATTGGTTTAAACTATTAAGGCAGCCATGGGGAAATCCTGGCAAGTTCTGATGCTCTTTCTGGCATTTGATTAGCAACTTCTTTGGGGTGGGGGGAGAGAGTCTCCTGAAATCCTGCACCCAGCCTACACAGTTAGTTGTGTTTCTTCCTTGCCAGATTTGGGCCTGTTTCTATGCATTTGCTTTTATTCCACCCTTTCAGAAACTTCTCTTGAACATGAATAAAATCTTCTTGAGTTAATGGATGCACACATTTTATGAAGTGCCAGGATTAAATCAACTTTGGGAAAAAAATCAGCCAGAGAGCATGTTGTGCAGACAGCTACAACACACTGAGGGGTATGCTTTAAAACTGTGAGCTGGAAAGGCCATTTCACTGAATTGTTGACGGTTCCCTTCATTAAGCAGGAATGACCTATTTAGAACCATGACTCAGCCAGCCTCCCCTGAAAGCTAAAGAAAAGCAAGCAAGCAAGAAAAGAAAAAAAAATAAATAAAAGAGAAAGAACAAGTACATGGGGTCTGTCTAGAATTTCCTTTTACTTAATATTTTAACTCCCATGTCTTTAGAGGCTTCAGACATTATGGAACCCATGATACCTCTAATGGTATGCAAAACTGCGCAGATAAACTGTGTTCCTATGTTTTATAAAGTTCCTCTTTTCCTCCCTTCCTCTCTCCCTCCTTCCCTCCCTCCTTCTCTCTCTTTCTTTTCTTCTTTCTCATTTACTGGGGTTTGAACTCAGGGTTTTGCACT